TGGTGGCCTAGCCCTCAGAGGTGTCTAAACTTACTAGTCATCACAGTTTGTGATGTCAGTGTTCCCCAGGTACTTGAAAATTCTGATGCTGCAGTATCTCCGTTTAAGCAGATCTAAATGACCTCTAAATAGTTATGCGTAGAACGAATCAGGATATAGAAACTAAGTCTCTTGAAGCTGTTTATCTGGTAGGGAAGGAAGCAGGGAATATTGGCAATCAGCATTGTAGTTTTGGCTTATTAGTAGAAAAATCTGTTGTGCATTGAAAATCATAAAGTGTAATTGTATCCCATAGTGCTGTTATGACATCAGAGGGCCCTGTTGCACCTTACACATTCATAAATGAACTATCAAGTTGATATTACCAGAACTAATTTCTTTATATTTTTGAACTCAATCATAGATTACACAAATATAGGAAAGTGGAAGCTGATGTAGAAATTCAGACAGGATCACTGTTTGGCTAACAGAAACACTTTATTTTGTATGGCCACGGGAGAACAGCGAGAGGCGGCTGATGCTCACGTATACACTCCTTTCAGTACTCTTTTCCATTCCTCATCAAAGCACGCCATCATTTATATTAAAATTCAAGTTATAAGAATGGAGCTGTGCCAGTATAACATTATTAAACCATCAGTCATTGATATCTTGAGACAATTATTCTTTTTTAATTGAATCATGGCACATGTCCTGCCCATTCATGCATTTGTAGTCTGTAGATGCTGCGGATCTGGTTAGACATGCTTTTGGGGTATATAGACCAGCCACGTACTTAAAGAAAACTTTCTATGGCCAATGTAAGTGGTATATGCTCCTCAATGTAAAATACCAAATGAGAGGTCCATGAAATGCCATCCATGATAACACCATTTGGAAAGTGTATGATAATATGTCTCAAATGCACAAATCAGTTAATTAAATTTTCCCCTCTGACAACAACAACACTATATGGGTAAGTGGCAAATTTGAATTCAAACTAACCTTGCGGTATAAAGCTGTAGCAAAACCCCCAGGTTTTTCTTTTTGTTTTTAAACTTAAAAATACATTCCCTCCCCTTCCCCAACCATTTCTGACTTTCTCTCTGCCCTCTTTATCCCCTTATAAGTAGTCATAGGTAAGCTAAATTCTTGTATTCAATTATTGTAATAAGCCCCTTTTTATATTGTAAATGGTGTTCTGTTATGTTTGTATTGACTTTTTTTTTTTACTGTTTTATATTGTATTCCTGTCATTTTTACATTCATTTTTATTGTTTTATATTGAATGTATATGATTTAGGCCTGTGTCTGTAAAGTAATGTCAAGTTTCCATTTTGTATGTCAAGCCTCCATCTTGTATCCCCTGCCCGGATATAGCCTGTTGTATAGTATGTTCTAACTGTGACTCGTGTCTAACCAGTCTCATGTAAATTTTTTTATGAGTGAATGGGCATGAGTGAGGGTGCTTGAAGCATAATGGTAGCAGGCCTCTATTGAATGATCAATAACGACTGGACCATCAACTCAATGACCCGATCAGTGCCTTGCATTGACTCACCTAGGAACCACAGACCTCACCCAGGAACAGAGACAAAACCCAGCATTTGAAAGATAAAGAACCTACAGGAACCCAACATTTGGAAGACAAAGACCCTACAAAAACCAGCAACCCCACCATTGTGTGCCACCAGACAGTGAGGACACCTGGATCTGCATGTATGCATCTGAGCAAGACTGGCCTTGCCTGGGCATGCCCTTCCCATAGGAAAAAGGTAGCCCACCTTTATAAAAGGTGTGGTAGAGTGTGATCTCTTTGGGACTCCCTCTCCATATGGACCAGCACTATGCCGCATCTTCTATCCACCCAGAGGCCCTGCTGGTGACCCCCTCTGGACAACACCTTGATGAAGAAGACCCCAACTGGCCATCGAGGATCAACTTGCAGCCCAGGATAGGTAGGTATCACCCACCTTCCTTCCCCAAGCAAAGGACCTGGACTCTGTCCCCATACACCTTGACTCCAATCCCTCCACCAAGCCTTTCCTCTCCTGCTACCATTGTGTGGGAACCAATAATTCTGTGGGGCTGTACAGTGTGCTGCCTGATTAATAAAACTGTTATTTTGAAACCCCAGAGTTGGATTTTTGTCTTATTGACCTCCTGGCCCTTCTCCTTGATTTCCTGGTTTTCTCCCTCAGTTCTTTCTGCCTCATTTCCAGCCCTGATCTCCCAGCTCTCTGCCTCTTTCCTAGCTGTCCCCTCCTTGCTACTGGGCTTTTTCCCTCATTTCCACCCCAGCACCAGGTAACCCTGAGTAACTCCAGGGCCTCAATTAACCTTAAGTGACCCAAAGTAACCCCAAAGGCACCTTGACCTCAAGTAACCCTGAACACCAAGTTACCCCAAACTCCCCCTAGTGTTTACGCACAGCCACAGAAGTGCATGTTTGTGTATGTATATGTGAACTTATTGTGGTGTATGTGTAGTTTGTGTGTGTGTGTATAATTTTGTATCATGCCCTCCTATCGAACAGCACAATATTGAGATCCTGAGTGTTGATCTGGGATGTGTCAAGTCAACAAAACAAGTGTAAGGCAGGGTAGATTTGCACCATATAAACTAACCAAAGTAGATTATATATATAGCACAAGCTTTTGTGGACTGAAGCTTACTTCATCAGATGCTGTGAAAGGATGTGCATAAAACAGTGTATAAGAAGACAGAAATTTGACTACAAAGGCAGAAGGAAGGGGGATGAGGGAGACAAGGTAGAGTTAGGAGGCCTCTGTCTTTCTGCAGTGGATGGCAGATCACTGTTCGTTCTTTTATGTAGGGATCACCCAATTTTGGCCCATGTAGACAGCAAAGGAGTACTGTGAGCAGACGCAAGCCTTGCCCCAGCCCACAGTGGCAGCTGGCCTGGCTGGCATGTAGATCTGCAGGCACGTGCCCTCTATGTCCTTCTCCCTTCAGATGAACCGCTTGCAGCTCTGTCCTGCACCCTGGCTGCGCAGGGCCTGCGCCTGCTCCAGCCTGACTCCCTCCCTCACCATTGTTGGGTGGGGGCAGATAGAGGCCCACTGTTGAGGGGGGAAGTGGGGCTAGAGGGCTGGGGCCTCCATCTGCCCTGCCTTTCCCCCCATGGCCCTTTCCCCTCCCTCTTCCCCCACAGACTTACCTGCTGGGGGGATGCATCCCCAAATATTTTTTTCTCCCTCTGCCTTGATCTGCTCCCCCCTTTCCTCCCTACAGACTTACCTGCTGGGTGGGCGGCGGGGAGGGGGTGGTGGCGCAAGATAGATCTTGGGCAGCTTTAAATGCCAAAGGTGATCTCCTACTTAAAAAGGTTGGAGACCACTGGTCTAAGAAGTATTCCAGAGTTGGTTTGATGGAAGTTATTAGAGTCCTGGTGAACTTTCTCCAGAAATTCCTTCTCATCTTTCCATACCAGGAAGATGTCATCATAGGTAGGTCAGAGGGATGAGAGAACAGCTATGGAGGAAATGGACTTCAAGGACTATCATAAATATGTTAGCGTATTGTGGGGGCATATGTGTGCCTGTGGCGTTGCAATTAATTTGTAGGTATAGGGCAGGGGTTCTCAAATTTTGTGATACCGTGACCCCATAAAATAATATATAAATTGGCGTAACCCCCCCCATGATTAAAGCTATTGATTTTATTAGGGTTAGGTAAGAGGTAAATAAAGCACATTTATCTTTGTACATTAACTGAAATATATTTGTCAAAAAACACTTTATAAAGTTCAAAACTGTCTCTCTCAAGAAAAAAACTCAAATTTAAAACTGTCAATAATTTTCAATGAGGAGGATAAGCTTGCTTGGTGCTGCTTAGTTTTTTCAAACCTGGGCTTTATTTTTGAGACTGGCAGTCTCATTTCAAACTCCACATTTACTTTTGATTGGTACTTGCTCTTTATAGCGGCAACTACTGGAAAAAAAACTGCGGAAAAAACTCGCACTCAATCACACACAGTCAGTTGAACTGTTGACAGATAAATACTGAGATTCACTAACCCATACACACTGAGATTAGAAAACAAAAGAGACTTCCAATGTGGGTGAGTCCAAGAACATGTGCATTGCTGCTGGGGGAGGGAAGCAGGCAGAGCGTTTGTGCGTTGGGGAGGAAAGAGAATTTTGTTGTTTTAAGTTGTTTGTGACCCCCCAGGGGGTCATGACCCACAGTTTGAGAACCCATGGTATAGGGAGTTTCCAAACCTGAAATATGTGTGTGTGAGGACAAAGCATGAGTGTATAATGTAAATAGAAGCAATTTTCTTACTGGGGATTATTTTCTTTATGACTTATAATCTGTCTTCAAGGGGAAGTTGGTAATTGGAAGCTTGTCAAGGCCCAGTTTCTTTAAGAAATCTGTGGTATCTTTCAAGTAGCTGGCACTCCCAGTGGCATATGGCAATAGGACACAATCAACATGGCCAGAAATGTCTTTCATGATAGTGCCAGTTGCCAGATTTGTGGATCGTGGGTAATAAGTAGAAGTTGCCTAACCTGGGCTCCTGGGAGGTGGAAGCATTTATCCTCTCCTATGTTTTCTATGGTAAATTCTGTAGGAGTTTATCTATTGCCTTGTGGTATTGTGCTGTGGGGTTCTTTGTCGGAAGTTCGTAAAACTCCCTGTTGGAATGTTGGAAATAAGGCAAGTTCAAAGATAGATATTATGGAATAATCAACTTAAATGTCTTTAAGAATACAATAAATATCTATTTTTTCTAATTTCTAAGGTATAATCAACTTTTGTATGGGTAGAACTTTTGTACTAGTCACATTCATCATTGCTACTGGGTGTAGTAGCTAAGTCTTTCACAGATTAGCTAAGGTATACCCTATAGGCACTATAATGACACACTTTTTTTTAAAGGCAGGAGTATGGCATCCTTTAATACTCCTATTTAGAATATCCGACTTACATATAATGTTAAAAAATTTAGGAGGAATTTCAATTCTAAATGCTTTTTTCTTCAAATCCCTTTTCAGGTTGTTCCACTGTTCATTGTCTTTATTCTTCTGGAGCTTGTTGTCAGCAGTATTCGAAGGCACAAGCCGTCCTATCGGATCAATGATGCTATAAGTTCTCTCTCTGCGGGTATCCTGTCTCAACTTCCTGAGTAAGTATGACTGTTGCATTGGCTTTACCATGAGAAGAGGAATATTATTTTATAATTTAAATATACATATTTTATAATTCTTGAATTTTAAGTGATTATAGGAAATCTGAGAGAATTTGTTAAGACCCTCTGGGGGGTCTAGGGAGCTTTGCCAAAAACTGATTTTACCTGATATATATAAATTTAATTTTGAAATATAAACCTAAATTTAAGATTAAAAGGACAGTAACCAACTCCAAGTCCATTGTTAAATCCATTGACAATTTTGAATGTGATTTAGTTAACCTCCTGCTATAAGAGGGCAGGAACTTTTCAGAATAAAATCCTGTTCCAGTCTTAACAGCTGCGGTTGAACTAAAATGTGGGGTATTTAGTCCAAAATTTAATCCTAATTTTAAAAATTGCCAGTAATGGAGAATCTAGCAATGGTTCTGCTACACATCTCAGGACCGCATTAGTAATTTTAGCCAGTGTCACACAAGGAACTCATGTTCAGCTAGAATCTACCACGATCCACATCTTTTTCAGAGTCGCCGCTTCCCAGGTTGAAGCCTTTCTCTGATCCTGCAAATGGGGCATGTATTTTTTTTTTGTTCTTTGCGATATGACCTTCCACACTGAAGCGCACAGACCAAGCAATTCATATTACTCTGTATCAGTAACTTATTCAGTTAATTATTGACTATTCCCCTATTTCTGATGAAATTGGCAATTGTAATTTCATGCCTTCTTCTAGATCATTAATAAAAATGTTAAATAGCACAGGGCCAAAAACCAGTCGCTACAGGACTTCGCTTATAGTATATCCATTAAATGAGGGTGTCCTGTTTACAATTACATCCAGAAAACTACATACAAAGCTAGTTTTTAATGCATTCAATGGTAAACATGTTGAAATTGATCATTTAAATTTTTTAATCAAGATTTCATGTGGTACTAATACAATACCTTATGGACATCACTTATTCCACCAACACAAATTGTCTTTATCAACCCCTTTGCAATCTTATAAAAAATCAAAGTAGTTTGACAAGATTTATGCTATGGCTTTGGATCAGACCATGAGAAGACATGATCTATGCATGGTGGAGTACGTTGGTACCCTAAAAGCTCTATTATCCGGCATTGCCTGGGAATGGGGGATGCTGGATAACAAAATATGCAGGTTAATTGAGTGGCCTGAACAGGCGTCCTTGCCTATTCAGGCCACCACTTCTCCTGCCATGAATGGGGCATCGCTACCCCTCCCGTAGCATCTCTGCCCCTCCTGTGGCATCGCCAACCCTCCTGTGGGACAGGGATGCGGGCCCCATGCAGCCTGTTATGTCCCCGGGCCGTGGGGGCTCGGAGGAACCGGAAGTGCTATGGTGGGCACTTCCGGTTTCACTTTACCTTACAAGCCGGCATGCCAGTTAATAGAGCATACCGGCTTGTAAGGTGCCGGGTAGCAGAGGTTTTACTGTATTTAGAAGAAATAACCATGGAAGTTACCTTCTAAAGGATTAATCAGATACATGGAAAAGACTAGCTAGCCATTTCCCACATACATATAAGTAAGAGACTTGAATTTTCAACATCAGAAATGTTTTAAAGGATAGTACTGAAATCATTAATATTTGGTTTAGCATGTCTTGTAATTATTTTTGAAGGTGGTACTCGTATTCAACCTGTTTGTCATCTTAGTTTCTATATAAACAAAAGACACAATCATTTTACCACACATCAGTTACTGTGTGCCTGAGATCCTCCCTTCATACGCTGTAAGTCTGGGGTGGGGAAAATGTGGCCTGTGGGCCGGATGCAACCCACCAGGCCATTCTATTCAGTCTGTGGGGCCCCTAAAAAGTTTAGAAAATTAATATTTATCTGCCCCTGGCTGCCTGTCATGTGGCCCTCGATGGCTTGCCAAAAGTCAGAAAGTGGTCCTCTGCCCGAAATAATTGCCCACTCCTGCTATGAGTAGTAACACTAAACCTTTTAGAATAAACGTTGTGCCCAGTCATCACATTCATTTTTATGTACATGTATGATTTCAGTTCTGGAGACCTATCGTTCAAATATACTTAAAATGAAAATGATTTGGATTGCATTGCCTCAATTCAATATACTTTTTAGGGTTTTATATACATCACAGATTTAACAAAACTATTAGTTGTATTTTTGATCAGGAAAGAACAGGATATATTATTCTGAACTTCACAACTAAGATATGTGGTTTGAACAGTTTTGAAAGTATGTATCTAGTATTTTATGAATTCTAAAATTAACTCATTTCTTCAAAACTGCTTATTTAGAAAAATTGCATTTTATATACAGAGCTAAGTTTTGCATGATGCTAAATGCCACCACCATTATGACGCAACAGTATTTAGAAAGGTTTGGTTCTGTGTGCTATGCATGTTGAAAAGTATTGTTCCTGTATTAACGTGAATAGAAGATGACCTTGATTATAAAACAACCCCCCAAAATTCGATTTTATATATGGAAAATTTATAATTATCCAGGTATGGAATCTAATTATTGGAGATTTGCCTTGAAGTTGTCCCCCTCTCGCTGCTACAGCAGGGGAAATAAATCTGGGGGATCAGGTAACCCCTTTGCGTTCTGCTTCCCCCCCAATTTTTCCCCTGGCAGCCCCTTCCCTCTCTCCTTACTGTCAGACTCTGCTCTCCTTGAACACACAAAAACAAGGAGAAAATTTGAAAACAATCATCTTGCAATTAAACATGGCTGTCACAATTTGCATATAGTACCCATACAATTTAGTTAATCCAGGATTGATGCATGTTACCTTTTTTTTTTTTTTTTTGACACCGCTGCAAGTTTTAGTACCATAAGCACACTTTTGAGCAGCACTTTGGCACCTATTTATATATAGTACACACTATCCAGAATATTAGTCTAGGGCCAGAGGCTCCTGATTTACTGCATACTTCACTGGGGTGGCCCTCGCATCTAGTTTCAAGCCTCAGTAACCCCATGGCTCAGCCCTGCTGAGAATGTGTGTGTGTGTGTGTGTGTGTGTGTGTGTGCGTGTGCGTGTGTCTGTGTGTGTGTACTCCGCACACTCCCCACAGAGGAACCATGTGCTAATTACCCCTGCTAATTAGTGGAACTTAGCGTTGTTGTCATGAGTGCTGGAATTCTCCAAAAATGTTTATGTAGATGAGGCACAGCTGATCTGGCTTCACCTCATGGAGGGCAGGGCCTCACTAATCGTATGTGCCAGGCTGAGAGAAGGCCTGACAGAGGGATTCTGGGTGAACTGTTTGGGGCCCCATTTCATGATATTTGCCAGGCATTTAAGGCTGGTGAAGAACCAGGAATCATTGGAAATGAGAGAGAAAGGTGCAAATCAGCTGTGAGAGTGAAGAGGAAATAAAAATGTATGCAATATAGTAGCTCACAGTGACTTGAAAAATAGATGGTGCTGAGGGAGACTGTCCTTAATGGGCTTTACATATATCTTATAACCTGTATTGGCCTATCTTTGTGGTAGATAATTACCTGGCAGGGGAAGCATCATGTATCTGGGTCCAAGAAGGCAGTTCTCCTTAAGTGTTCCAGGAGATAACTGTTCTTCTGGTGTGGTTTAGTACCCGCTGAGGTGTTAGGGCTTAAAGCCCACTTTATGGAAATGGGAGGCTCCTCCCTACCTTGCTTCTGTGGCCATATGCCTGAAGTCAGGCGAAACTTGTGGGCATCTGAACCTCAAGCCTTCGTGCTTGGGCCTGCATGTAGGATGCCTGCCAAAAGACTTTGGAAAAATCTGAAACCCCTGGTGTGGGTGGAGGATGTTTGCCAGTTGTAGGGCCACTTATGGTTCTGAACTGACTCACAGATTTACTTGATTTGGCTGATTTGGCTTGGAACACGAAACGTTTCTTAAAAAAAAAAAGGTAGGTTCTCCAAAGTGGGTCGTGTGTTTTATAGTTATGCTCAGTGTTGGCTGCACTTAGTCAACTTCATAATTTGCTTTCTTTGCTAAGCACACGTTGCTTTTAGCAGCAGTTTAGTGATAGACAATTTATTTAGTGAGATTTCCTTATATGCAATTATGCTTATCCATTTACATCCAGAATCAGAGCTGGTTTTAGGGAAAATGGCACCCTGGGCAAACTTTGTATTTGGTGCCCTTCTCTCCCCCCACCAGCACTCTCCCCTTTCCAGTGAGTGGTGCTGCAGGTAGGCAGAGGCACAAGGTGCAGTTTGGCGGCGAGGTGCAGCCACCCGCACTGCCTGGCATGGCTCTTCCTGAGGAGTGGCTGGAGGCAGGGGGGCAGGGATTGTCTAGGGCCGGGCAGGATGGGAGTGAGTGCTGTTGTGTGTGGTGCCCCGTGGCCACGGTGCCCTGGGTGGTTGCCTGCATCCCCCACTCTTAAGGCTGGCTCTGTCCAGAATTTCTTTGGAGGTCACTACCACTGTAAAGCTGCGCTCTGAGTTCTGGGAGCACATATCCTTTTCAGCAGTTGCCTTTTCAAGTAAGAATTGTTAAAAGCTTTTAACATTCAGAGGGAACATTTACTGAACACCAATTAGGTAAAAAAAAAAAAAAAAAAATGGCAAACTGAATATGTTAGTAAGGTTTTCCTTTCAGTCTTTTGCTTTTCAACCAGAAAAGGGTAGGGCAATTTGACAGAAACTGTTAAAACAATATTTCAGCAGAACCCACAGCATCAGGGGAAATCCTAGTGCAAATCATTAACAGCTGAGGGTTAGATTAACACACCATTGATTGTATCCTCTCCCAGGGACTAATTTTCATTTTCTCAACTAGCAGAAATGGTTTGCCACTTCCTTAAAAAATCTGTGGTTGAAACTAAAATGGAGGACTTCACTATATTAATTCATTAGTTAGAAGGACGCTTTAGATATGTCATTGCTAAGAGACCTTTGGATTTTATGGAAAGATTTCAAGTCATGGAAACCAAATTCAGGTTGTGAGTATGTTTTTCCAGTTCATAGTCTGGATAATAGAAGTGTTGCAGACATTGAGAGAA